TTCCCAGCCCAGGCTTCCAATGGGGTGGTGCTGTGCTGGTGTTGAGCTCTGCCGGCCCACCAGGGACCCAGGCTCCACGCATGCACACCGGCCCGTTTCCTTCTCTGCCCACCCAAGATCCAAGCATGTTCAGTTTCCCTAGCCCGGTCCACCAGCATGCCACCCCAGCACGCTAACTAGGGTTCTTTGCCGGAGTCCAGCTCCAGCTGAGTTCGGAGCTCGAGAAGGGTGCGTGAAGTAGGCGTAGAAAGAAGAAAAAAGAGACGGACCACTACAGTTCCAACATCATTGTGGACTACACGAGAAAGCTGTCCGCTTTATTTATACAGAAGCAGTACACAGTCTTTTTTTAGGGCATTTTGACGTAGCTTCGGGGGGGGCACAATTTACAACAGCTTGAGAGGTGAGTGAGGGAGGACCCCACATTCTTTGCTCATCTCGGCTTGCCAGCCCCTACTTACTTCCCTCAAGTCTCGGTCCCATCCTTGGCGCTGCCTGTGACAACCAGACCCATACCTTGAATTACGCATGGGAAAAGGGCTGAGGCCTTGGTTTATGGGGATTGGGGTATTGGCACCAAAGGTCATTAGGTCTGTAGGCCCACACAGTTTGCTAACTAAGCAAGAGTTACAACGACGGAAAGAACTGCAATTAGCAACGAGCCATGTTTACTCCATTTAGGTTTCTGCTCTACAATGGGCAAGTAAATGTTTCCAAAGATAACTCTACAGATAGTTTCACCTTAAGACAGGACGTTATCCATTCTGATGTTGCAGCCAACATTTTCTCAGTAGATGACACGTCTTATTCAGTAATACATTCCTACTACAATTCTTATTCTATAACTTATCCATCACTTAATGAGAGAAATACATCAAAAGAGAAAAAATATAAAAATCTAAGACAAAAGTTTCAAACATTAAATCCCTCTACAACTGCAGGTTCTACAACCTCATAAATGATCAAACAATAATCAAAAGTATACATGATGTTAGTAAAGTCACCCTATTTCCTCTAGTTAAAAATCATGAAGGCAGCCAAAGCAACTACATTTACTATGTTCTAAAGAGTTGAGAGTTGCAAGGACAGGCTAACCTTTAAGGTCACAGTAGCTATATTTTTGCCATAGCAGGATAGCCTTTAGGGTCACAGTAATTATAACAGGATAACCTTTAGCGTCCCAGTAACAGGATAGCTTTTAGGGTCCCAGTAGCTATATTTTTTGGCATAGCAATTTCAACCCATACTCCCATCACTTCCATTAGTTTGTGAAACTCTTATCAGGCCATTTCCCAGAAAGCATGCTAACTGTTTGGGCCAGATTGCAGGGCAATGGGTAGGCACACAATAAGGTGTCTGGAAACAGCATGGGCTTAATTGTACTCCTGTGCGCAGTTAAAGGCCCACTCACCAAGACATTATCAGTAACATTAACTTTTAAGCTCATGTTGGTTGTAAAAGCCATCTCACAGGGGCAAACTATGCCTAATAGATTGCAAGATTCTTAGTGGAGTGGTTGAGTGTCCATGCAAACGGGGTGAGACTGCGTCAAGATAGTCAGAGAGAAATCTGCCGGGCCCTGCCAAACAGCTGGAAGCTCCCCCGGGCCCTGCCAAGCAGGGGAGCTGTTCTCTTCACACCTTCATGTCATTCACACCTACTGCACGGACCCCAGCAGCTCCTCCCTCCACGTTCTATACCCCGAGCCCCTGCCTGGGGTCAAGTACATGCAGAAATCCTCAGGCTCACTCTGTTTTTCTGGGCACGAGTCCCAGTTCCTGCATTCACCTGCTGCCACCACCCCCAGGCTCCCTGAAATCCCACACCCCGAGGCCCCCAGCCTACCAGTGCTGGCAGAAGCCAGGTGCTCTACCACAGGTAACTTCTACTTACTGCTAAAGCTTCCCTAAGGTGTGGCCATCCGCATGAATTTTCTCATCCTTTACAGGTTCGGCTCCTCTTTATAACCTACACTCTCGTTAAAATGAACACCCCCAGGGATGCAGTGGGAGCCGGCATGGGGAGAGTTGATGTCCTTGTGACTTACTGATGCGACACAACTGTCCAGGATGGACCTGGCCATGCTGGTGTTTAGTAAATAGCAGTGGTCCCTGTCTTTCCATCTGTGTGGCTACCAAGGTTACTGAGCTGGATGGCAGCCCTTTCTCCCTGCATCCTAGAGTGGAGGAGCAGAATGGTTAGGGAACCTGGGAGTCTGACAGCCCTGGGTTAAGTCCTCCCTTGTGGATGTGTGGCCTAGGGCGGGTCACCTCTGTTCCTTGGGCTCTGTTCCCTTCTCTATGAAATGATGTCTAAAGACCAAACAGAAAACTCTAGTCCATGGAGTCCTGGGATAGATACAAGACAGAAATGCCTGTTCCAGGGCCAGGCCCCAAGTAAGCAAATCAGAGATGGTGGTCCCCATAGCCACCCACTGCCACCACTGCTTAGTCTTGTGTTTCACACTCAGGAATGTTTGCTGGCTCACTGAAGTCAGCAGGCGAGAACAATGTGTTTTTCCTTCTCAGCAAGGAACGTTGTGAGGTAACTTGGGCCAGCATGCAGAGAAAGCCAGACCAGAGAACTTTCCCACTGACTTGTAAGGACAGGTGCCCCTTCCGACAGCATGAGACACATTCACATTTGAGGTTGTGGGCTTGGGGAAAAGGCAGGACAGGTCGCCACAGGGCACGAGGCTTCAACATCCAAATATCCAGGCAACCTGAAAGACCTCAGAGGGGTGTGTGGCAGGTCCTCTGTGGTAAAGGACTGGTTCTTGATAAGCCAGGGGAGAAGGCACTGGAATGCCTGGTATTTGACATGTTCATGTCCTAGAACCTGACTGCTGGGGGTGTGTGGTGGGACCCCTGTTCGTCCTGTGCCCATGGTGCCGCCAGGGGAGGATTCTCTCCCTCGGAGGCTTCTAGACACAGACCAGTCTTTCTTGCCTGTGGCCTTGTGATTTTTATAAAACTTAGACTTTTGTTTCTTATCATCTTGGCTGGGATGGCTTATGAATATCACACACACGAGTATTAGAAGGGAAGTGTTTTATAAATGGAGGCAGCCCCAGCAAAAGGGCTCACTCGGTGAGCACCTCCTCGAGGGCTTCACTTTCTCCTTCGGCAGTCGACTCAGCGGCCGCCCTCTCGCCCGGGCCTTCGCTCGTGCTGTGGGGAACAGAGCAGGCCACTTTTCCTCTCTGCCCGCCCCGTTTGTCCCGTTAGGTAACGTGGGGAAGGCAGTCTGTCATTCACCTTGCGCCTCTCACTAAAACGAAAATTGCTTCCTTGTCGGAAGTTTCATTATGTAACTTTTGAACCAATTGTTTCTGGCTCATTACCCGGCGGGGTTTGTGCTCAGCCCTCAGCCAGTGCAGCCACCTCACCAAGAAGCCCACCTAGGAAAATGCAGTAGGTTCAGCACCCCTAGGAATGGGGGGGGAGGGAATGCATATTTTGCCCCTCCTCCCGCCACTCCTTCCCTCCTACTGAGCCATGTGTGAGCCGTATGTGGGTATGGATAAACCATGGCTGGGCTGAAACATCCGACAGCAAGAACCAGCTTGGGTTGAAGGCCAGTCAGGAAAAGCCACAGTTCCTGCTATGACAGGAGGTGGACTGAGTAGGGTTGGCTCATGGACCCACTGGTAAGCGTGAAACCTGGCATTGGGAGAGGTTCTGATGGAGGAGCCTGGGCAACTCCTCTGGCAGGACACAGACCCGGCAGGTAAGCGCAAGAAATATGATAGGAAACAGCCCAGAACAGGCCATGGAAAGTTACCCACTGGCATACAATTGGCAGGGGTTGGGGAAGACCAGGCTGAATCTGTTCACATCATCCACTGGCAAATCCAAGCACCAGTGTGTGTCGAGCCAGGTTTGGTTGCAACAATGACTTAGTGCACAATATGGAATGCCAGGGTGAGGTTGCCCATACCGGAAGGGACCGCAGCACCCAACCAGCGTGAGAACAAGGAAAGAAATGGGCAGAGCTGGCAGGGGAATAAGGGAGGGTTCCTTTGCTGGACAGCTTCTCCCTCAGGAGAGCGTAGGCTGGGATGGGGGCAGACCAGATTAGGTAGGGCTACCACACTTGTGCGCCCCATGTGGACTAGATCAGGGAAAAGCCGGGCTGGGCTGATTATTCCTACTGGTGCAAACAAAATTAGAGTGGGCGAGGGTTGTTTGGGCTTAGCCACAGCATCAGCTGGAATCTGGGAGTGGGAGAGGCCTGGGAGGGAAATAGTGGGCTCATCCCTCTTGGGTTACCACTTCCATGGGAGAACATAAAACTAAGACAGCGGCTGGGGTAGAATGGGGTGTGGGACAGACTGGATTACTGCTACACATACTGGCAAACCAGGGTAGGGGGCGGGCCTGGTGGGGGTTAGTGTGGGTCGCTCCAACTAGGCTGCAGCTCCCACTGGTTTATGTGAGGGCCAAGTATGTGCTGGGCAGAATGAGGCTGGACTGCAACACCCATTGGTTCCAGTGGAAGTCGGGAGTGAAAACAGAACCAACCCAGCAATTACAACCACCAGCTGATTAGGGCGATGGACTGTGCCGGGCCCTGTACTTGCTAGCACATACAAGAAGTGTCTTTGGAGATCTTCCTAATCTAAATGCTGGACTCAGAACCCTAACGAAGAAAAGAGAGAAGACAGAACAGGTCAAAAAACCATCTCAGCTATGATGGACTATGTCAATCAGTGGATTTTTTCAAAGACCTCATAGTGCTTGGAGTGGCAAGATTGGCAGCGATTCATAACTGTTGCAATATCAAAACCACCTAAGCAAGAATCTCAGAACATGCCCTACATCCGGGACCTGGGGAGGGTGGGAAATTGGGTGGGCCTTCTCCCTTAATGCCCCCCCTTTAAACATGAAGGAAACAATAGGGAAAAAATAGTAGTCTTATCCACTTTCCTGTAGCCCTTGAACCTTCTTACCCTAACTATGTAAAGATTGTCAAAATAAATAAATAAAAAAGAAAAGAAAAAGGATGTTCTAGAAACTTAAGTGAATCGTTGTCCTTACCCCAACGAGACAGGCTCCCGTTATTAAGATCACCACTGCCACAGTGACAGATATTGCCATGATGAGTGTTTTGTTAAGGCTGTATCTTGGGACTTCTTTGAGCTAAAAGAGCAATGAAGAGAGTTCAAATAAAGAGAGCATGAACACTTAACTATTCCAGCCCGTATTCTTCCAGGTGAGTGGCTTGTAGGATCTTCAAGACCACATAAGATCCAATGTTACACGATCTGATTATCACACGGGTACTCTACAGTTCATCTAGCTTGTCAGGTCTGCTTCATTCTCTAAAGGAGCAAAGTGGGAAATTGCCACCTTGGCCGAAGTTACGTGCCCAATGCAAGATATGGACTGGGAGCCCCTGCTCTTCCTCCTTGGGGCTTTAATGACACTTCCTGAGCGACAGGAAAGGGCAGCTCTCTGGTCTCGTGGCCGTCCTCACCTCACTTGGCTCGATCATTCCTGCATCAGTCTGGCCTCCTGGGCTCTCGCTGATGTCGTCCTCTTCTTCCCAGCGGTCTGTGTCCCATTCTGCCTTGGCCGTCACTTGTTGCCGCTCACTGAGGAGCTTCATGAGGAAGCTCGTTCTGGAGATGAGCTTGGCACAGGACAGCTGCACCTGGGGGTCCGCACAGTCCATCTGCAGAGTCCTGATAACTACTAAAATGAAGTTTCTTAACATTATTGGGGATGAGGGACCAAAGCTGCTGGTTCAGTTGCCTTTCCAATTGGTCCCCCGGGGATGACTGCAAGGGGTAAGTAATGCCTGTGGGCATGGAGGGGATGGATGCCCCTGCCCATGTTAGGGTTCCCCCATTACATTTGCTCAGTGACCACTACTGAGTTGGGGGCAATCTCGGGGGAACCAGCGGCCAATGGATGCCCCTGGACTGCGCTGGCAGGGGGAGATTCTTCTGGCACAGCCATGCTGTCTTTCAAAGTGTTTCCTAAGTCATTTCCTGCAGCAAGGCTGGCTTCAAGAATGTCTTCTGGAGGAGGAACTGGAAGAGCCATCGCTTCTGGAGAAGGAAAATCCTGAGAACTCGGGTCTCCAGAAGAGGGAGAAGGCTCTCGGGCAGGGGAATCAATGAGACTCTGTAGGGCAAGGAACGCAGGCCTCTTTACAGAGTTCCATGTGTGGATGGAATTCTTCCTTCTCAACTTCAGTCTCCGTTTGGCTTTGGGGGTTTTGAACACTGGAGCAAGATCAATGTTATTGAAATGGCAATCTGTGTTTGGTTCTGCTGTCTCTGCCTTTTTTGCTCACATTTTTGCTATAAATATGTCAATTAGCCTTTTCTCTGGCTCAGGGAGAGACTTTGCACGGGCCGCAGCAGATGGCCTGCCCGCGATGTACTTCTTCAGGAAAGAGGGAGGCTCTCTGTGAGTGGGGGCCCTGGGTAGAAGGAGTTGGCCCCCAGGTGCCAGGGCCTCTGGGCCACATGAAGCTCCTGCGCTCCCCAGCCGGCCTTGCACGGTGCCCTCCACCAGGGGGCGCGCGTTCTCTCTCCTCCCGATTGTCTCCCGCTGCTGCCTTTTCCTCAGGCCCTTTGGCCCCCGGCTGATGTGCTGTGATCCGGTACTTTCTAACTTCCTTAGGAAGAATAGTCGTTTTGCTTTCAGATCTAACGGAGGCTGCATCAGCACGACAGCTTTTTTGGTGTTTTTAACCTCATCATCCCTTTTTTGTTCAATTGCAGAGTGTATCAAATTTTCCAGAAAGTGGATCTTTCTCATTTTACGTTGGTTAGGTTTTAAGGAGAAGTCTTTTGGATTGTTTTTCAAGTGATCCACAGATCTATCTTCTTCTTGTGGACTGGAAAAGAGCAATTTAATGAAGGGTAGTAACACTGACGCTACGTCTTCTAGATCGCTGGCTGAGAAATAACGCAGCATGTAATTTAGTGAACTGATAACAACACCTTTTGCATTCAAGTCTAGCTGCTCATTCATAGAGTCTATCAAGCTTATGTTTCTCTGAATTGTCCATGTCTGAATCAATAACTAATTCCGTGCTACTGTTCCTCTTCCGGGCCTGCAGTATCTTCAGGAATTCCGCTTTGGGATTCCCCGTCGTTGGTTCTGGTTCTGTCAGAAAGGACGAGAATGCTTTCGTTACCAGGAAACTGAGTGTCAGTGTACAGACATACATCCCCAGCAGTTTAGGCTCGGAGTCACCAAGATTTGGTTGCCACATAGGAAGAAAAATTAACCCAAGCTTAAGTCTATGAAATGGCAGCAACAGAAAGGAAGGAAAAAGTGATTTTTAAAAAGAGTGTCATCAGAAGAGTCCTGAGTATGAAAAAGCAGTCACTGTTTAGGGTTGTTCCTTGTCTCCCCAGTGGCCAACTGCCCAGCACCCAGTCCGAGCCCACGGCTGGGAGACGGTCTCCATGCAGCTGGCCCCTGTGGAAGGGCCTGCCTCAGACACATCCTGCACCGTCCTGCCTCAGACACCAGGGGGCACAAGGCTTCCTCTGGCTCCCTCTCCAGCGACCTTGCCTTCTTGCTGCTGTCAACAGGTGACCATGGCCAGACACATTCACACGAGGGGAGTGAAGGCACAGATGCTAAAACAGGGGCCTACTCCTCCTCTGGATGTGTCCTTTTCCACCGAGGCAACAGTTACTTGGTCCCTGCTCAATGTTTCCTAGCCCTTACCACAGAAGGTTCCTCATACAGAAAACTACCACATCCACCCTGGTTCTTTAAATATGGCCAGGGGTCTGGGATGTAGGTGGAGTGGTCTGTGGGTTGCTAGGTGGTACGTATGCACAGATTGTTCTGTGAGCTCTCTGCGGTGGTAGCAGTGTCTGGGCAAATGTTGCTCAATGCTTTAAAATGTAAAAGGGAAAGAGGCTGGAGCCCTGGTGTGGTAGCCTAGTGGCTAAATTCCTCAGCCAGTATGCGCCAGGATCCCGTATGGGCACCAGCTCGTATCCCAGGTATTCCACTTCTCATTTAGCTCCCTGCTTGTTGCCTGGGAATGTAGTCAAGGATAGCCCAAACCCTTGGGACCCTGTACCCAGGTGGGAGACTAGAAGAAACTCATGGCTCCTGGCTTCAGATCAACTCAGTTCTGGCCATGGCTTCCACTTGGGGAGCAATCCAGTGGATAGAAGTTTTTCTCTCTTTCTCCCTTTCTCATTGTAAATCTGAGTTTCCAATAAAAATAAATCTTTTTTTTTTAAAAGATTTTATTTTTATTATTTTTTTTATTGGAAAGGCGGATATACAAAGAGGAGAGACAGAGAGGAAGATCTTCCATCCGATGATTCACTCCCCAAGTGAGCTCAACGGCCGATGCTATGCCGGTCCGAAGCCAGGAGCCTCTTCCGGGTCTCCCACGCGGGTGCAGGGTCCCAAAGCTTTGGGCCGTCCTCGACTGCTTTCCCAGGCCACAGGCAGGGAGCTGGAAGGGAAGCGGGGCTGCCGGGATTAGAACCGGCGCCCATATGGGATCCTGGGCATGCAAGGCGAGGACCTTAACCACTTGCGCCACCGCGCCGGGCCCAATAAATCTTTTTTTTTTTAAAAAAAAGGAAAGAAGCTGCTTTTGTAGATGCCTGTTTTTGCTTTCATTTCTAGTATTTCCAGCTTGACTTGGGGAAGCCTTCAAGCTTCCAAGTGCAGGAAGGTCAAGTGTGCTGTTGTGTGGCGGGGCTTCTCTCCCAGACCCTGCTGTGAAACCGAGAGGAGGAGGTGAGCGTCATGAGAAAGACGGAACATGAGTGCGTGCAGAGTCCACGGCGGACAGAAGACCGGGTGTCTGGCTTCGCCCCTTCATGCCTCCGTCTTGTTCCTGCTCTCTGAGTCCATTAAACTGTTTGTTCTGCGCCCTCTTGGAGAGAAGGGGTTAATAGGTGGAAAAGACAAACAACACTGTTTGTCATCCAGTAGTGTGCTAAGTCCTGGACCCTGACAGAGATGTGCATCCAAGCTCTGGGGAGAATGGACCCTGACAGAGATGTGGAACAGAGCAGTCCTGTCTGGAATCCCAACACTAGTGGGACTTCAGGTTAGTCGGTGGAGTTTAGTTACTTGGCGGGACTTCACATACCCGGAAAACCACAGCAAAGTCCCTGGGTGACTGCCCGATGAGAAGCCTGAGCCTCGGAGCAGGTTCAGCATTGGCTGTCTACTGGTGGATGGCATTCCGCTCCATCAGAGGAGCCAGGCAGCCACGCCTGTCTCGGACCACAAACTCCCAGGCTCAGAATCAAGTAGTGGCACTTGTGTTCTTTTCCACAATTGCAAAACAAAGCCAACAACAATGTTGTACACCTGTTCTCCAGGGCAGAGGCACCGGAGGCCTGCTGTGTATAAAAGCAGGCTACACACTGTGGTGCAGTGCACAAATGAGTGCTCATGGAGGCAAAGCACCAAGCTGAGGGCACAGTGCACCGTGTGGCCCTCAGCGCTAATTCCTTCCCTTCCATTTCTTTCCTGCGATTCTTTATGCACAAGGAACAGTCAGAGCATCAAATTTCCTGTCAGTCACTGGGGGCCGGATGTTCATTGAGAGAGTAGTTCAGAAACTGAGAGTTTTAATCTGAATGAATGAACTAAAATAGTTACATAATAACTTTAAGCATTTATCCCTAATTTACAAATAAGAAATTAAAATCACCAGGCATCTCAGACTCACCACAAGATCGAGTGTTTGTCAGACATTCATTGCGACAGTGCAGTTTGACTGTCTTGCAGACAGCCTCAATGTCCTTTTTAAATTGGCAGAGGCAGCAGGCCATGGGGTTCGGTAAGATCCTGTTAAAAGGAAACACAGAAAATTCAGCTAATAATTAAGGGATTACCTGAGTAGGTCAAGAGGCAGGCCAAGGCTGTGAAAAAGGTAATCTTGAGATGTGGCATCAGGCTATGTGGCTGGGAACCTGATGACCAAGTGCTGCTCTTAAATGTTGCAAATATGGGAAGGATGCAGAGGTGCCCAACAGAAAGGTAAGCAAGGCAGGGGGTGTGGTGTGCTCGGGATAAAGGTGACAGGGGCTGGAAGCGAGTGCCACTGGTCAGTACTGTCACTCAGGAGTATCTCCTCCCAGCTCACAAGTCTCACTCTGGGATAATGTCAGACTTGTGAGAAGGAGTCAGAGCCCCCAGCCTTGGGAGTGCCTTTCTCATCTGCTGTTCGAAGGATCTAATATTAGAAATTACTCTAGCTGCAGAAAAGACTGACTCTAGCAAGAAAGATACAGAGTAAAAGGATCTCTCAGTCAATGCTGGGGTTTACAGTTTGCCAGGGGTGGGCATTTGGCCTAATGGTGAATATGTTGCTTAGCAACCCACATTCCATGCACCTGGGTTTGAATCCTGTCTCCCCTTCCTCCAGTGAACACCCTGGGAGGTGTCAGGTAAAGCGTAATAAATACTCAGAAGTAGAATAGCTGGAACATATGGTAGGTCTTAAAGTTCTTTATGACACTCTGAAACTAATTTGATTAAAAGCTTTTCTTGAGATGTATTTTAAAAAATTATTTGAAAGGTAGAGAGAAAAACAGACAGAAATGTTCCATGAGCTGGTTCACTCCAAATATCTACCTCAGTCAGGGCTGGCCAGGCTGACGTCGGGAGCCCAGAACTCAACTTGGGTCTCCCCCATAGGAGGCAAGAACCCAAGAACTTGGGCCATCAGCTATTGCCTCCCCGGGTGCACATTAGCAGGAAGCCAGAGTTGGAAATGAATCCGGCACTTGAATCCAATCACTTTGATGCGAGTATGCGTGTCCTGGTGGTGGCTTACTGCTGCTCTCGTAACAGCTTCATTTGGGATAGCCAAAAATGGAAAGAACCCAAGTGTCCGGCTGCAGATGAGTGGATAAATGATACTGAGTTCACATAAGGAGATGTTGTTCCACTAGAAAAAGAAATGAGTTATTTCAACAGACAACAGTGGAGTCTTAATCATATTACATAAATAAAGATGATGAGAAAGAGTGCATAGTGTATAAGTCCATTCATATAAAATTATAGAAAATGCATATGATAGTAACAGAAAGATGCTGAGACTTACACAGGCACCGGGGAGAGCAAGAGTGATGGAACAGAAGGATTCCAGAGATACAAGGACCTGTTGATGTGGTAGACATCCGGAGTTGGGTGATGACTTCATTGTATATACATATATCTATACCTTTTTATGGTCTCAGTTATGCTTTCATCTCTGGCATTATTGTGAAACTGTCTGAAGGAAGAAGGAAGGGAAGGCGGGAAGAAGAGAATAAGGAAGGGAAGAAGACAGGCTACTCCAAATCCATGAGACAGGTATACGGGCAACCATTATATTCTGTCAAGTTTGAATTTGTAAAAATATTTACTTGAGTGTGTGGAGAGACAGGGACAGAATTAAGCAGAGGAGAGAGCAGAATTCAAGGAAAAGATGTCCGAAGCTCCCTGGAGTCGGAGAAACCGAGGCAACTTTCACACAGGCAAGAGAGAACCTGGAAGAACTCTCAGGATGGCAACCTGCCGCTTGAGCTTGTGGAGACGGATACCAGGATACCATCCGGGACAGGCAAGGACTCAGTAAAAACCTGGTGAGTCATGAACCGACGCAGGGAAGACACCAGCAGGAGCCTTAGCCTGCCCATAAGAGACAGAGGGAGTCAGGAGGACTCTCAGAGCAGGACACTGGTGGGATTAAAAAAATGGCCCAACGAGGAAGCTATAGGCACAGATATGAGCAGCCTCTCCCAGAGGAGGGAACGGCATTGGGGAAAGGCTAGTTGAAGTGAAGGGTGCAGGTCGGAGACACAGTCGGCAAGGCCTGAGACCACCCCCACCCAAGGTTTCTCAGACTTGGGCCACCCAGAGGGATGCCAGAATCCCCCAACACAGAGATGTGGGAGCCCCCAGGGTCAGAGGTTTCTCTCAGTGACCCAGCAGTGTAAGAGCAGACTCCAAAAGTGCATGAGGGTAGGTCAGTGCCAATACCCAGCAGACCGCAGGAGAACCCAGCGGTGCAGGTACAAATTCCAGGGCAAACCAAAGCCACATAACCCCGAGCCGGCGCTTGCCCATTGGAGATGAGGGAAGGCGTGGTGCACCCCAGAGTGTGGAGATCCCAGCCACTGATTGCACACTGTGTAGCAGAGGCCGGGTCATTTCCACTCTGGGCAACTGCACAGCGGGCAGAGGCTGTGAAGGCGCTTGGCAGCAGGGGCTTGCACACAGAACTGGAATTTGCAGGCTTTCTGTTGCAAAGCTCCACACCCTGCTTGAAGCTGGGAAACGCAAATGAGGAGAGTGAAAGCACTGGTCGCCCACAAGGTGGCAGCAGCTGACAAACATCCTAGTTACCTGGCTGCCTGAGAGGCCTCACAACCCACAGGACAGCTGACAGATACGGTGCTCCCAGAAACCCCCAAAGCACACCAGAGCTAAAATCTCAAAATGACAAGAAAGCACAAAACAGTGGGAAGAAGTACCAGAAAAACTATTCAAATGAAAGAGTCAGCACTCCCCCCAAAAATAACCTGTCTCAGAGTTGCAAGACAAAGACATTGAGGAACTACCTGAAAAGGAACATTAAAAAATGAACATGAAACTCTTCATAGACAATGAGAAGTGTGGGGAAGAGCTCAAAGAGTTCTCACAGAAATTAAACGGGTCCAAAATGAAATTTCAGAACTGAAAAATATGGCAGCAAACTTGACAACAGATTCAGTGCTGCAGAGGAAAGAATTTCAGAACAGAAGGTAACCAAAATGAGAATACACAACAGAGAAGAAAATGAAAACCTGGGAATAAACTTAACAAAGGATGTGGAAGATCTCCGTGAGGAAAACTACAAAACGTTAAGAGACTTCAAAACAGTGGAGAAAAATATGTTCCTGGATGGGCAAAGTCAACATCATCAAAATGTCCACACTCCCAAAAGCAAAATATGCATTCAACACAATTCCAATCAAAATACCAATAACATTCTTCACAGAGCTGGAAAAGATGATACAAAGGTTCATTTGGAAACACAAAAAAAACACGAATAGCCCGAACCATCCTGAAGAATAAGAGCCTAGCGGGAGGGATCACATCCCAGATCTTTGGACATTATTATAGGGTGGTAGTTATCAAAACAGCCTGGTACTGGCACAGAAACAGAGTGGTAGTTCAATGGAGCAGAATAGAAAATCCAGAAGGGAAGCCACACATGCACAACTATCTAATCTTCAACAAGAAACCAGAAAACAGGGCCCGGCGTGGTGGCGCAAGTGGTAAAGGTCCTCACCTTGCACGCCCGGGATCCCATATGGGCGCCGGTTCTATCCCGGCAGCCCCGCTTCCCTTCCAGCTCCTTGCTTGTGGCTCGGGAAAGCAGTCGAGGACGGCCCAAAGCTTTGGGAACCTGCACCCGCGTGAGAGACCTGGAAGAGGCTCCTGGCTTCGGATCGGCATAGTATCGGCCCGTTGAGCTCACTTGGGGAGTGAATCATTGGACGGAAGATCTTCCTCTCTGTCTCTCCTCTCTGTATATCCGCCTTTCCAATGAAAAAATAATAAAAATAAATTGTAAAAAAAAAAAAAAAAGAAACCAGAAAACAATCTGGGAAAAAGGCAGGTCTCTTCAATAGATGCTGTTGGGACAACTGGGAATACTCTGCAAGACCCACACCTTTCACCACACACGAAGATCAAACCTAAATGGATAAAATCTAAATCTACACCCAGAAACCATCAAACTTTTGGAAGAAAAAGTTGGAAATACTCTACAAGATATAGGTGTATGTACTGACTTCCTAGAAAAATCATCAAAAGCAAAGGAAGCCAAGACCAAAATAAACAAATGGGACCTACATTAAGCTAAGATGCTTCTGCACAGCAAAGGAAACAGTCAACAAAGTAAAACGGCAACCAACAGAGTGGGAGAAGATCTCTGCACGTTACACAGCAGACAAAGGGCTACTTTCCTGAATATACAAAGAACTCCAGAACAATAATGCAAACCAACCAGTCAAGAAACGGGCAGGGGGAAATGGGCAGACCTTTACAAAGGAACAAATTCAAATGGCTAACAGACACATGAAGAAATGCTCAAGCTCTCTGGCAATAGGGGAAATTCCAATTAAAAACAACACTGAGGTTCCACTTAACACCGGAAAGAATTGCCCGCATGCAGAAAACTACCAACACCACCTGCTGGCAAGGTTGCGGAGAAAAAGGAACCCTACTTCCACTGCTGGTGGGAATGCAGGCTGGTGCAGCCACTGTGGAAGTCAGTATGGAGAACACTCAGGCAATTAAAAATCCACCTACCATATGACCCAGCAATACCACTACTACTAGGAATATATCCAAAAGACTTGTTACATGAGAAAGCAACACACACGCCAATGTTCACTGCAGCACAAGCTACTATTGCAAGAACATGGAAACAACCTAAACGCCCACTAACAGTGGACTGGATAAAAAACTGTGGTTCATCTACACTATGCAGTACTACTTGGGTATTAAAAAAATGAAATAAAATATTTTGTGGACAAATGGGCCAAACTAGAGACCATTATGCTAAGGGAAATGAGTCAATCCCAAAAGGTCAGGTATCATATATTTGCTCTAATATAGTATGATGTCAAATCTAGGGATATTATATGTGAATCTTACTCTATGTCACTTCATACTTACCTGTACCTTGTGTAATAGGATCTTCACTCAATCTTAGCCAAAAGGTGGAGAAGCGATTGTGTAATAAGATCTTGTGATGTAATCCATTAATCAAACATCCATAAGAGACTGATTATTTATAATTAAAAAAATACAGTGGTAAAATATTTACTTGACAAGTAGAGTGTTAGAGACAGACACACACATACCACAGGAGAGAGAGAGGAAGAGAGTTAATCTTCCATCCTCCGATGGGGCTGGGCCAGGCTGAAGCCAGGAGCCAGGAGCTCCATCTGAGTCTCCTACCCCCGGCTCTTTAGTCTTCTTCTGTTGCCTTCCCAATCACATTAGTAGAAAACTGGGTTAGAGCAGAGAAGCCAGGATTCAAACCAGCACTCCTAAGCTGCTGTGCCACAACCCTGGGCCCCCATGTAGGTATGAATTTTCTCACAACAAAATCTTGCAGCGAAAGATAGCCAAGCTGATTGTCTTATGAGTTAAGGCTTCCTGCAGGCAGTTTCAGGGAGAGAACAGCAGTCTCTAACTGCTGTGCCACACTGCCCACTCACTATAAAATAAATTGGAATGGAAACACACAGATTGCAACCAGAAGAGGAGCAATCACAACTCCCATAACCTGCTGGTGACAATGCAAATAGCACTGTCACTTTAGGAAACAGTTGAACAGTTTCTTAAGGAGGAAAAAATGCAGTTATAGTAGTTGCTGCAGCAATCCTAGCCTTGTGTTTATCCCCTAAGAAGGGAAAACATGTTTACACAAAGGTCTGCCTAGGAGTGCTTTTAGCAGCTTTATTCATTATTGCAAAAATTGAGAAAGTCCAGATATGCAAACTGATGAGTGACTGAAACAAACTGGCCTATTCACACAACTGGGACATTGCTCAGCAACAGCACTGCTGGAGCCAACGGCAGGGCAAAGCGTGATCTCACACAGATTGTGCTCAAACAAGCCCAACACTAAAGCCTACTACATACACTGCATGACTTACAAGACGCTGATGAGGGCCTATCACAACGGCTCAATTGCCTGATTCACCTCCTCCAAGCACCAGTTGCTCTAAGGCAGCCATCTCATGTCCTGGCGGCTCCACTTCCCATCCACCTCCCTGTTACAGCCTGAGAAGACAGCAGAGGATGGCACAAAGTCTTGGGATCCTGCACCCACATGGGAGACTCAGAAGAAGCTCCTGGCTCTTGTCTTCAGATCGGCTCAGTTCTGATCATTGCAGCCACTTCAGGAGTGAACCATTGAATAGATTTTTGTCTCTCCCTCTCTGTATATCTGCTATTAAATAAAAATAAATCTTTCTAACATAAAAAAAAAAACCAACTCAGCAATGTTGAAAAGGCAAAAGCAACAGGTGTCTGGGTTGGAAAGGGTTGACTGCAAAGGGTCCAGAGGGCCCATTTTGGCATGTCAGAGGCAATCTAGTAGGAATTTAGTGATGATTTTATAACGACACAATGATGAAATTTATCACACTGCATACTTAAAAGTTTTATTATGTGCAAATTGTCCCTGAATAAGTCTGATGTAAGAAAGCAATTAAATCTTCAAAATGACAAAAGCATAAGCCTAAGAGAACAACTTACAGTTTTTCCAGTTTGAGAGTCTTCATGAGGATGCTCTCAACCGTGCTGATTGACACCTGTGTTCTTCCGAGGTCTCTGAGAAAGCCCAACAGTCATGATGTGAACCCCGAGAGAAAGATGATTTCAAGGAGCAAAATCGAATAAAATTGAAATGAAACAAAAAACTAAGATACTTTAAAAAGTAAAAAGAGTTAAGAGCATGCAGTTGCATTAACTTTTGGCTACTCTATAAAACAAGACAGCTTAAGGGTTTGTCAGGGCAGATCCTTCCAGGAAGTTCTCATTGAAGAAATTCAAGTACTCTGCACTGTCAAGTCAGTGACCTTGGCACTGAAGGACAGAACCTGCACCGTTTGGTTTGTTGCCATTATCTTCCTTTTCATTTGCCTATTTCACCCCTTGGTTACTTGATATCTTTTCACCTGCTTTGTGTTTCTACATGTGTCTGAATATGCTCAACAACACTGTCTGCTGGGGCTCTTACACATTGTACATCTTTCCTTAATCCAGGAGCCCAGCTCAACTTAAAACTGCAACTTTTAGCCTCAATGCAAAATACTTAAATTTTGATCAAAGTAAAAACAAGGAGTATAAGTCACCCCATGATTCATGAGGTTTATTTTTCATACTTACAGATATTTTAATGCTGGCAAATTAAAAAGATAGGGATCTTCGACAGTTGTCAATGGATTCTGATCAAGATTTCTGACGATGGGATAAAAATTATACACTTCTTCTCTATGTACAAACATGTGCAAAAGTTTATATACATATACATATATATATGACAGAGAATTTGTAAATTAAAAAAAAAACAACAATTTTATGGGTCTGCCCAGTGGCCTGGTAACTGAAGTCCTTGGCTTGATCATGCTGGGATCCCATACGGACACTGGTTCTAATCCTGGCAGCCCCGCTTCCCATCCGGCTCCATGCTTGTGGCCTGAGAGGGCAGTGAAGGATGGCCCAAGGCTTGGGACCCTGCACCACATGAATGGAGGGAGGGAGGAGGCCATACAGCCAGGATCTGCAACAACTGTTGGTCCACTCACTCCCAGCACATCTTAAACCCCTCCCTCGAATGCAAATAGAACTGTGGAATCATGAGCCACAGGTCAGGCTTGGAAGAAAATCTCCATCTCGAATCTCAATTCCCCAGGCCGTGGACCATCACAGAATTGTTAAGCAGGGAGGGAATAAAACTGCAACATTTCATTCAAATGTGCCCAGGATGTAACGAAATCAGGCTAGAGCAGAGCTTTCCTGTTACTTTCCACAGCTTAAAATAAACACCGCCTTTGCTACTTCAAAAGTTCCCTTGCCCACAGATGGTTTACAACTTCACTTGTCAAAACACACCACGAGCTGGGTGACTGTGTTGGATCTTCAGTTGTTCTTTCTGCTTTATCATTTAGAAGAAAGTGACCCTGAGAAAGCACCAGCACCTCGGCTCCCCAGACTGAGCAGCAATCCCAGTTAAATCCCGGCTGGAATCTCAAGGAGCACTGGGAATCCGAGCAGCACTGTGGGGACTCTGGCAGCAGTGCTAACTGGATAGTATTTGCTTGCTATGCTCTCTTGCCCAAGGCCAAGATCAGCACTAGGAAAAGCAGAGCACGTCAGCTGTCACACAAAGTCCTGAGCCTCAATGCACCTTGGTGTCCTCATTTGAAAAAAAAAAAGAGTGGAACTTAAGCCGTACTTTGCAGAGTTTGTTCATGACTTACACTCAGCTAAAGATAACTATATACATTTTACATATACACAGCTCTTTAATATATTTATCTTGTATTTCACTTACACGACATGCAAAAAATGCATTCCATGCCATGCCTGAAATGTGCCAAAACTCACTTCTGTGAGTAAATTGCAACCAAGATTTCTGTGAAAAGACACAAATTAAGAAGAAAGTTACTCTTTTAGAACCTTCACCTTTCAGCAGTGATCCTAATTTGTACAGATGAAACATCGCCTCCACACACTCAAGGCTTCCCAGTTGGAAGACTCTGGCTTCTGACTTCACACTTTCACATTTACACAGGCGGTGCATTAGGTACACCAAACCACACGCGACAAATACTTGTGCTCAGCGATTTTCATTTCCTCTCCCCAAAACAAGGCTTCACAACTTGAGCACCTTAGACGTTTGGGCTGGGTGATTCTTCATTGTGGAGGTCTGTGCTGCACATGGCAGTTGTTCTAGAACAACTCACGGCAGGTGCTTTCGCAGCACCCTGACTTTGGCCCAAAATATCTCTGGAGACTAGAAAGATTTGCTACATAATTCTAGCTAACTTTCTACAAGTAGAATTATAATGATATTGCAAAATATAATTGACTACCAAGGGGGGTTACGATTAAGACTTACTGTAATTCCAAAGATGACATTATAACTTACATAGACATCAAAAAGGGGAATGATTCAAATGTACGTCTTTCAATAAACTGTATTTTATTACAAGATAAATCCCTAGGAAAAGAAAAAAAATGTCTATTAGATCTCATGAGTAGGAATGAACAGAATTTGTATTTCTTAATGTTGAATATGCAGTTTTTGTCTAAACTTTGGGCATCTGTTTGAACATTCCAGAGCTCCTAATCAGACTTATAACCTCTCCTAACAGTCTCACTGTCTGGGTTTTTATAAATAAAATATGCAGCATGGCTATAGCTCTTGATAAGACTCTGAAGGGAAAATTTCCTGGCAGCAAGAGATACGATCAGATGACCTTTGGTAGTCTCATCAAATTCAAGATAATGAGATCAAAGTTTGCATCTCTATTTGTAATTTCTAATATTCAGACGAATATTCTACTTTTATACCTTCCTGGTGTGGTTCTCTTTTTGGAACTAGTTCAGTTCCAGAATAAATCAGAGAACCTTTCAAATCATTTGAAGGGAAGTTACTCCTCAGATGAATTCATCATTTTGAATCAATTCAGAATTATATTATCCTTAGTAGGAATTCTTTTCTGATTTCACGTCATCTTGACATTGCATAAAAGCAGATTTGTTTCAGTTGCACAGTGGCAGCAGAACAGAAAACAACATGGAACTGGATTCTTGTTGGAAAACACTCACTTGTGACCAGTTACATGGATCCCAGCTTGCCTCACTTTTCACCCGCATGGCTGCCAACTGCCCGCTGTGGCTGTCTCCATCTCTAGTCTCTCTTCTGGAACTCTCCAGAAGTGGTTCTCAAACACTGGCTTCAACTAGGCACTGAAGATGCAAATTCTCGGCCCGGATCTAGAACTCAATCAGGAACTCGGCAGGGCTGGGGTGGTAGAGACAGAACCTAGTTCTGCAAGCCCCTGGGTGACGTGGATGCAGGCTCGGCTTTGCTTCAGAGCGCTGCCAGGAACACGTAGCTCTCCTGGCTGGTGACTTTTGCATGACAGTCAAAGCCCTGGAGGCTTTCCTCCGTGGACTCCACAGGTACTCACGGCATTCCTCAGACACTCTCCTGTGTTTTGCCCTTCTCTCACTTTCCTTCTGCGGTCTGAGGGTATCGCCCCACACTGTCCTCCCAATGATGCCCAGTGGCTCTACACAGTGTCCTTCCAATGATGCCCTGTTTAACCAATATCACTCTCGCGACAGCCCCCTGATCCAACTTGGAGTCTCTTTTCCCTGTTCTGTTCTCCAGAAACAATGTGCACATCATGTCTGTGCCCTTTTCTTTTCCACATTGTTACCCTTGCCTCTCCCCTTCCTTCAAAGCATAAACACCTTGAAAGCACGGACTTGGCCTTGCTCATGCGCACTGCTTACCATGTTTCCACCTGGCTCATGGAAACAAAGCACACTCAGATACTTAGGAAATAAAGGAATAGCTAAGGAGTGAGTGAACGGAAGGAGGAACTAGTTTTTTTTTCTTTTAATTTTTTTTTTTCTAAATCACTAGTGTTTAAGGAATGTGGTTGCATTACTCCACTGACCCTCTGCAGTGTGTTGTCATCGACCTGTTTGTTGGATCATGTTTGATTTCTGTGCGTGTTTCCCCTGCAAGCGATCTTGCAGCTCCTAGGAGGGTAGGAAGCCTGCCTTACACATTTTAGAGCCTCAAACTAGACTAAGTGCTTAGCATTCTCTTTCAGTTATGAAAAATGATGGCATTTTAAAAAAGGATGACAATATAGATGCCGACAGAGAATAACTAGCTTGCAAAGGACTTCCCACTAAAGGCAAGGAAGGGCCTGTTGTACTGGACAGTTATTATCTCTTCTGTTTTTCTCCAGATCAGGTCTATAAGGTTTGGGAGTCCAGAAGAAAAAGATGGAAGCAATTGTCCCCTTCAGGCCTAGAGAGCTTGGTCATTCAAAGGATTATTGTTAGTGTCAGATAAGGCTGTTTCTACCCACTGTCCTTCAGCTGTATAAATTGGAAAGAAGAATCTATTTCCTAAGAGTAGCAATAATCGGCCTAATAAAGATGCATGGCATTCGGAGCCCATTGTGGTATAGTAGGTAAAACAGCCCTGCCATGCCAACATCCCAGTTGGGCCCTGGTTTGAGTTCACTGCTCCACTTTCCATCTACATTCCTGCTCTGTGCCTGGAAAGGCAGTGGAAGATGGCCAAATCCTTGGCATTCCTCCCCCTGGCCAACCCCTCCAAATACCCAGCTATTACGCTTGAAGAATTCAAAATGAATAGTATGGATTCAATGCATGAGACCCTATACATACTTACAGAATTGTTATTTTAATACTAGAAGAAACTTCAGAGATTATTGAAACACCTTATTCATTTGATAGAAAACAACTAAAATCTCAGAAATAAATGTGCTTAACTAACTTACAAGTGCTGCAGGGATAGCAGGCCTTCAAATGAATCCTTATGTAATTCAAATAATTTTCGCTGAGAATCCTGGATCAAAATGAAGAATAACAACAAATTTTATTCAGGAATAACTCTGTTATTTCCTCAGGAACCCTCAGTAGGGTGTCACTTAAATGCAAGTTAGACCTCTCTCCCTTTCTCTGTAACTCTGGGTTTCAAGTAAAACAATTACATCTTTTTTTTAAAAAAAAAAAAAAAAAAAGGCCCACATATTGCACTAGTTTTCCTGTATCTAAATTATGTACAGAAAAATATAAGGTCTGGAGCAATGTACATCACAGTCACAGCAGCTTACTTCAGGGATGGAATGTTACACTACAAGAAGATTTTTACTGTATCAGTTTTTAGTCTCTTAAGAACATAATCATGGAGCCCAGCATGAAAGCTCAATGGTTAAATCCTCACCTTGTAAGAGCTGGGATCCAATGTGGGCACCAGTGCACGTCCCGGCTGCTCCACTTTCCATCCAACTCCCTACCTGAGGGCCTGGAAGAGCAGTAGAAGATGGCCTAAAGCCTTAGGACCCTGAACCCATAAGAGAGAGCCAGAAGAGGCTCTTGGCTCCTGGCTTTGAAACCCCTGTAGCTGAATTCAAGGTTGTTCATTTAATATCTTTCATTGCTTTGTAAGTCAGTTCTTTGCAGCCAAACTGTCTACTAACCCTTGCTGATTCCAATGGTCACGGGTAACAGGTCAGGCAGTCAGGATGCTGGCATCCCATACATATGGATACCGGTTTGATTACCAGCTTCTCCATTTCCTGTCCAGCTCCCCACTAATGTGCCTGGGAATACAGTGGAAAATGGCTCAAGTGCTTGGGCCCCTGAACCCACACAGGAGACCCAGGAGAAGCTCTTGCTCCTTACCTTTGGCCTGGCTCAGCCCCAGCCATTGTGGCAATATGAGGAGTAAAGCAGCAGAAGTAAGATCACTTTTTCTAGACCTCTCTTCTTGCTGTAATTCTGCCTTTCCAGTAAATCTAATTTTTTTTTTAAGAGAAGGAGAAGGAAAGGTGACAAGAAAAATGTCACAATAGGAAGTCAGGAAATACAGGTTGAGTCAGGAAGAAGGCCCAGCAAGGTATTGAGCAAAAGGTTACTGTGACAGACAAGATCTAGAGAACTCTGAGGAAGGGTAGTTCTTACAAGATGGTGAAGGTGTCATCGTGGGCACTGAAGGATCCTGGCACAGGCACTTGGTGGAGCTTCTGCTGCAGCTGACTGGCACATGACAGCGTCTCCTTTTTGCAGGTACAGAGCTCGCAGATGTCCGTGCTGTTGGGGGTGCTTTCTTTTGGCTCAATGAAAGTCGTTAGCCGGGTAGCATATTCAGCAGCATTGACTTCAGGATATGAAGCTTGAAATTGCCCTGGAGGTGGAGCTGTAGTCTTCAGGATTTTAGAAGGGTCAACTTCTGGAGCAGGGACTGGAGCTTTGATACACTCCAACTCTGAAGGCTGACTCGTGACTCGGGAATCTGAAGGCTGACCCACGACACGGCACAACACGGGTGATGTTGCTATAGTTACAAAATCACTAGTTGGCTCTGGTGGCCAAGTTAAGAGTAACTGGAATAGTTGTAGGCTTGACCTCTGTAGATAAATTGAGAGGATTGCCTGTGACTTGCTGAGTCTGGCTCCGGTCTGTATATGTAGGTGGCACCTCAGAATGCCTTGGAGGTGCTGCTGCTGTAGTCTCCAGGGCTGTAGACTGTTCAGTCAGTGTGGTGGGTGCTGGGGTTCTGAGAATTTCTGTCTCCAGAGCTTGAACTGTGACACTGACCGGCACTATATGCTGAGTTGGAGCTACAACCTCCAATGGAGGCTCTGGAGGCTGAGCTGAGGTCTCCTGCAGGGCTGGAGATGATTCAGCCTCCGCAATTCTGGATTGAAAAGCCACTCAATATCAAATGCCTGAACTGTGACTTCAGTCAGGTTTGGATGCTGCGTCTGAACCAGCTCTGCCTGTGGAAGTGTCACCTCAGGGACAGCTGGAGGTGGTGTTTTGGCATTCCTTGGGGGCTGTAGAATGTTCGACCTCCACAGCAGGACTCGGGTTTAGATGCTGAGTCAGAATTGTATCTGGACTCATTCCTGTAGGTTCTTTCAGGGCAGTTGCATGCTCAGCCTCTGCAGTGGGTTCTGGACCATTGGTAGGTGGTAGGTTCAAGGTCTGATCTGTGACACTGGGTGTCACTGGAGGTTGAGGTGGAGTTGGCATTGGAACAGCCACCTCTTGCAGCACTGGAGGTTGAGCTCCCACCTCTGTAGATGGCTCTGTAAGCTGCACAGGGGTCTCCTGAGTGGTTGGAGCCTGGTCAACCTCTGTATTGAGTTCTGGAATTGGGGTATTTCCCAGGTCCCAGTGTGCAACTGTGAATTTGGGCAGGGCTGCATGGTTAGTCTGGACCTGGTCTGGATGTGAAATCTCTCTCTCGGAGTCTAGAGGTGTTGTGATCTTCAGGGCTGTAGAATGTTCAGCCTCCACACTGGGTCCTGGAGTTATGGTCAGCTCCAACTTCAAAGGCTGAAATGTTGCGATACTGGGTGACATTTGATACGGAGCCTGCTCCTGAACTGGTTTGGGGACTGTTGCCTCCTTATGCCCTTGTAATGTAGGTAAAATTTTTGAGGTGGCTCTGGAGGTTGGGTTAGGGGCTCCTCTGCCTTCGATGAAAGGCCATCCTCCACAGTAGGAGGTGGAGTCAGGTGATATATTTGGGGTTGGGTTTTGGAACCCACAGTCATTTCTGAATGCTGAGCTGAGACTTTCAGCCATGGTGGCGATGGAAGGGTGACGTGAAAGGTCTATAGGGGTTTATTTGGAGATTTCCATCCTGTAGGGATAGGCTCTATCTCCTTAGGGGAAGCTGCAGTCTCATCCATGGTCTCTGGCTCAACTGCAGAAGGTAAGGCTAGGTAAGGCTCAACCTCTGAAGGGGAAGTTGAGGTGACTTCAAGATGTACCGGTGTCTCTATAGTTGTGGGAAATGTTAAGTGGTCCCCTCTGGACAGGACTGCAAGGTCAAGCAATGAAAGTGTTGTTGAGGTCGCTTCTCGGCCTTTTGGCTAAGATCAAGTGTAGTACCTGTTCTTATCAGTTCAATATCTGATACATCCTCTATCTGAGGACAATATATTAAATGGATTTTTGGAGCCTGGAGTTGGAACAGGAGCTTGCTCCGTCCACTCGGCGCATCGACCTGGTATTGCAGAAAGTGTCGTTGAGGTGTCTGGCAGGGGCTCAAGAGCTCCTTGTGCTTGAGCACCCACAATGGGCTTTTGAGAAAAGACCTGTTTATCAATTTCGTCAGCTTGATCAGCTACAGGAGACTCATCCTTTGCAGGGGTGGTTGGTGGTGGCTGAGCTGTGACTATCTGATGGTCCATCGGGGGCTCCCCCAGCTCAGTGTTCCCCAAGGCCTGAGCTGAAGCTTCCTGTCATCTTGAAGTTACACCCTCGGTCATGGTCTCTGCAGGGTTAACAGACACACTGTTAACATCTGGCAATGTTCAAAACTGACCTTCGTGGGCACCTTCATGAGGAACTGTCGCCTCATGAGACTCTGCAGGTGGAGATTTCACTTCTTCGGTCTCCGACACCGGAGCTGGGGCTTCCTGCTGGGCTGGAGACAGTCTGATTTCCTCAGATGAGGGCTCCTCTTCCTGAGGTACCACCTCCGGCGAAGGCATAGACCCAACCTCTTCAATAGCTTCTGGAGGCGCAGCTGGGGCCTCAGGCTGAGCTTAAGCATTGTGCTTTATTGGCAAGCCATCTTCTGCATTTGCTTGCATTGTGATGGTATTCTGCAAATGTGCAGGTTTAGCAGCCATACTGGGCAAGTCCGTGTGTTGTTGCCAGTGGTGGCGAGCTGAAGGTACGAATATTTCGTCCTGGTGCTCTGGAGGCTGAACTGTGTCTTCTTCAGGCAGGCTTTTAGAAGGTTCACCAGGTCCAGTGGACTCGGATGGCTGAGCAAACTGTTCCTGCTGGCCTGGAGAGGGTTCTGCCACCACTGAAGGGTCAGCTCCTGAGTTAGCTGCTTCAGCTGGGTGGGAGGAGATGTGACCTCCACAGAAGGACTTTGTGTCTGAGCTGGGGTCACCTGGTGGCCTGGAAGAGATTCTGTTCCCAGAGAGGGGCCTGGAGCAGGAGGAATGGGGCCACTTGCTGGCCTAGAGAAGGTTCCACCTCCACTGAAGGCTCAGCATACTATGCAGCTTCCTCTTGATTACCCACAGAAGGGCCTGGAGTCTGAGCTGGAGCCTCTTGTGAGATTGAGGGAGGGGATTCCTCTTCCAAGATCCCTGCAGGCTGAACTGGGGCCTGCAGCTGGCCCAGGGTACTTTGAGCTTCATCTACTGGCTGTATCGTGATCGAAAGTGTAGGTCTCCCTGTGATGCTGGACAAGGTTGAAGGCAGCGGTGGACGTGGAACATGGATCTCATTATTTATGAGCTGCTAAACCTCCACTGAAGGCTCTGCACCCGGAGCCTGCTCCTCCTGCTTGCTGGCAGAAGGCTCTGAACACACAGAAGCACCTGGACTGCGAGATGAGGCCATCTGTTGGCCTAGGGAAGGCTCCCCCTCCACTGAAGGCTCTGTACCCGGAGCCTGCTCCTCCCGCTTGCTGGCAGAAGGCTCAATATCTACAGGAGGGCCAGGAGTCTGAGCTGGAGCCTCTTTGTGGGCTTGAGGGAGTGGATTCTTCTTCCAAGATCCCCGCATCCTGAACTGGGGCCTGCAGCTGGCCCTGAGTACCTTGAATTTCATCTGCTTGTATCGTGATCGAAAGTGTCACATCTATAGGTATCTCTGTGATGCTGGACAAGGTTGAAGGCAGCAGTGGACCTGGAACATTGATTTCGCTCTGCACAAGCTGTCGGACAGCTTCCTCAGCAGCAGAGATCTGAATTGGAGACCCCTGCAGCACTGGAGAAGGTGTAGTCTCCTTGAGAGCCTGTGGAACCTGGGCCAGGCCTTCTTTCTGGAGCAAAGAGAGCTGGCCCTGCTCAAGAGTCTCGGGGCTTTGAGGAATGTCCTCCGGCTGCAGCTCAGATGGTTCTGCTGCATCAAAGGGCTCCAGGAGCTCACCTGGATGCTCCTCCACTTTGAAGTCATCTAGAATATTCGTAGACCCCAGGTTGTCAAAGCCACTGGGGTCTGTATGGGGTGTCAGTTGTACTGAGCAACTCATCTGGTCGATCCATGGACTGGGTAGACCAGGCCTCAGGAGTCAGCTGGACCAAGTCCTGGTCCCACTCCTGAGGAGGAGTTGCCTGTACTGACCCCAAAACCAGTATAAGCCATAGGCTCATGTTGGTGGTGGGCAGGAAGGGGTCTGGGTTTTTTGTAAGCAGTAGATCAAACTACCAAGGGAAGTGCAATCCACCTTGTTCAAAGGTGCAAAGCAATATGGGAGTCCCTTGGCACCTGTTGCTTAGCAACCTTGCCTTCTGCCCCGCCCTTTACTTATGACATCTTCATTACACAGCCTTTGCTGGTCTCTGCTGCTCTGAACTTGGGCGCCTTTTTCTCACAGTCACTGCTGCCCTTCTCCTGCAGGAAAGACAGCTGTTCCCACCACATCCCTCTATCCCCATGGCAAGGCGGGCTGAGGATCACAAGCCCAAGTGGCCCTAGGACACTAGCAGACCATTTAGTGGGGGAAGGGAGGCAGAGCTTCCCAAGGAAGTCACAAGGCCCGGCTTCTTGGAGTATTCAGAATGGCTAGTCGGAATCTGGTAGCCAGAACTCTGCCTCCTCTTGAGTTGAAATCCAAGAGATGCTCTTTCTCTCACCAGAGCCAGCTAGGAAAGGGGCAGAATGCTTCTTGTGGCTACTTACTTAAGTGTGTCCACTTCCTCTAGAGCCTCAGTATCCTTTCTGTCCACGTTTGATCATTCACTCACTCCATTTCGTAGGAATTACCATGAAATCAGGGACGACTCCCAAGATTTTTGTAGGAGGGATTTGGGATGAATAGGCAATGTAGAGGAGAGAGTTTAAATGATTCACCCTTTAAATTGGCTTAGGAGCACTTGCCCCATGGCACCCTGAAAAAGTACTGCTTTTCAGAGAAGACACCTGCGGTGTTAAATCAGCAAGTTTAAGAAGTTTCTTAAAATTCTGGGGGATGAGGACCCACTGACTTCTTCCAGAGCCTTCCTACACTGTTCATTGTCTGGCACAGCCCCTAGCACAGAACCTCCAGAGTGAGGGCTTCATCTTCCTCCCAGTGCCAAGCATGTGGTTTGGCACATGCTGATTTCTAAATTGTTTTCTCTTTGAAACTTAAAATACTATTTATTTGGGAGGAAGAGAGAGCTCTCACTCATTGGCTCAGTTTCCACAAGCCCACTGTGACTGACACAAGGCCCGCTAAGCCGGGAGCCACAAACTCAACCCAGGTCTTCCGTGTAGGTGGTAGAAACCCAACTACCCAACTTCTCACTTCCACCTCCAAGGGTCTACATTAGCAAGCAGCTAGATTCAGGAGCAGAGCTGGGCATTGAAACCAGGCACTTGAACATGGGAAGTGGGCATCTCAGCCAGCATTTTAACTGCTGGGGTAAATGCCCCACCCTCACAGTTCTATTTGTTTTCAATTTGTTCTTTTTTTTTTTTTTGAGAGAGAGATAAACACAGAGGGAAACAGATCAAGAGCTCCATCCAGTCTTTCTGAGTTCTAATTCCTTCCCCCCACCCCCTTTTTCAAAATAATAATCTATAGGCCCGGGGCAATTGTCTAGTGGGTAAAGTTCCTGCCTTGCATATAAAAGCATCTCATTTAGGCAATGCTTTGTGTCCCGGCTGCTTCACTTCCCATCCAGCTCCCAGCCTGTGGCCTGGGAAAGCACTGGAGGACGGCCCAAAGCCCTGGGACCCTGGAAGAGGCTCACGGCTCCTGGCTTCAGATTGGCTTAGCTCCAGCCATCGAGGCCGCCCGGGGAGTGATCCAGTAGATGAAGATCATTCTCTGCGTCTCTCCTTCTCTCTGTAGATCTGAATTTCCAATAAAAATCAATAAAATCTTAAAAACAAAATAAATAGCCTATAAACATAAACAAGTATATATGAAAAAATTTTAATATGATCCATAGAGGCTATTAAAGGCTATGTCTTTCTGACTTTGTTTTACATTTTCTCCGTGAGAAATGCCATTTTAATGACATTGAACATCTTCTCATGTGTTTATTTGGTCCTTTCTGTTCAAATCTTTTGCTCAGTTTTGAGATCATTCTGACCTGCTGAGTGTTGATATGATTAGTTTCAGAAATAAAAATTACTTCCTTGCTTGAAGACAAGGTCCTCCGAGCTTCCTCTCCTGTAACAATCCCAGCGTCCTGTTACTGAACGCCCTGGGAGGCCGCAGGTGAGGATCCAGCACTGGGCTTCCTGCCATCCCTGCCCGACACCTCCACTGAGTTTCGGACCCCTAGTTTGACTTGGCCCAGACCTGGCTGTTGAGGCGTTTGGTGAATGAATGAACCAGTGAGTGGAAGGTGTCTCCCTCTTGCTCTGTGTATGACTATCTTATCTCTCAAACAAAATACAAGTGAATGAAAAAATTTTAATGTAAAATAAATGCTGAAATACTAGTGGGGGCACAAAAGAGATAAACATGATAAGAAAAATGTACGTCCCTTTCAGTGCCAGTGAATATGTATATATTTAATATGTAACTAGTTCTTTCATTCTTTGTAGCTTTTTTGTGGCCTGCCCCATTGTGAACATGCATGGGATTGATCACAGTCTTACCCAGACAGTAAAACCGCAGGTCAAGTCAGAGAGATTCTCAAGTACTTGTTTTACGTCTTCTCTAACTTCATCTGAATTTCATCTTTTATTTTTATTTTTTTTTTTGTTTTTTTTTTTTAAAGATTTATTTTTATTATTTTTTCATTGGAAAGGCGGATATACAGAGAAGAGAGACAGAGAGGAAGATCTTCCGTCCGATGATTCACTCCCCAAGTGAGCACAACGGGCTGATACTATGCCGATCTGAAGCCAGGAGCCTCTTCCGGGTCTCCCACGCGGGTGCAGGTTCCCAAAGCTTTGGGCCGTCCTCGACTGCTTTCCCAGGCCACAGGCAGGGAGCTGGAAGGGAAGCGGGGCTGCCGGGATTAGAACCGGTGCCCATATGGGATCCCGGGCGTGCAAGGTGAGGACCTTTAACCACTTGCGCCACCGCGCCGGGCCCTGAATTTCATCTTTTATAAGAGGGAACGTTGACCTTCTCCATTTATTAAATGTTTCTACAGGAGCAACAGTGAAAGACATTTTATATGATTAATTACATTTCACAAATATTGATCCAATTCAGAAGTATGACATACAAACTCATTGTATCACCTGCTTTTGGGGGAATTAGGTTTAAGACCATCTGAGTCTAGGATCATTAAATTGTTGATATTGGGGCCCGGCGCTGTGGCGCAGTGGTTAAGGTTCTCGCCTTGCATGCCCGGGATCCCAAATGGACGCCGGTTCTAATCCCGGCAGCTCCACTTCCCATCCAGCTCCCTGCTTGTGGCCTGGGAAAGCAGTCAAGGACGGCCCAAAGCCTTGGGACCCTGCACCCGTGTGGGAGACCCGGAAGAGGTTCCTGGCTCCTGGCATCAGCCGTTGCGCTCACTTGGGGAGTGAATCATCGGATGGAAGATCTTCCTCTGTCTCACCTCTCTATATATCCACCTTTTCAATAAAAATTTAAAAAAAAAATAATAATTTAAAACATGTTGATATTGAAGAAACTTCTGCGAAAAAACACAGAACAAAGGCAGGTAGTGGTACTATGAGCTGAGTACAACAGGACACCCACGTCCCCTGTCAGTGTCTGGGATCCATCCCAACAGCACATCCACCCAAGACTGGTAACTTGCCATTTTGAAAATAGTTTCCACAATATCAAGTAAAAATGGCATTTACGTGTGATGGAAGGGGAAAAGGAAAGGAGAAAGGAAATGTGTGCAGCAGGGAGAGAAGATGATGAACTCTTATCTAAAGTTCTGAAATCATCAGGATAACTAAGCAGACTAGGCATGACTCAGGAGAAATCTTGACAGGAAAACATAACTTCATAATTTAATGATCTGGGCCCTGCGTGATAGCATAATGGTTAAGGTCCTCACCTTGCACGCCCGGGATCCCATATGGGTGCAGGTTCTAATCCCAGCAGCTCCACTTCCCATCCAGCTCCCTGCCTGTGGCCTGGGAAAGCAGTCGAGGACGGCCCAGAGCCTTGGGACCTTGCACCTGCGTGGGAGACTAGGAAGAGCTCCTGGCTCCTGATTGGTTCAGCTCCAGCCGTGGCGGTCACTTGGGAAGTGAATCATCGGAAGAAAGATCCTCTCTGCACATCTGCCTTTCCAATAAAATAAATAAATCTTTATAATTTAATGATCTGAATATCAGAAAGTCGGCAGCTTAACTAGTTACTGCTTCCCCTAAAATGCAGGCTTACCTGAGGAGGGGCAAAACTGCACTCACCTCTAAAAAAGAACAAGGTGCTGAGGGGGATAAAGAACTAAATACTGGGCCCGGCGCGGTGGCACAGTGGTTGGGGTCCTTGCCTTGCATGCCCGGGATCCCACATGGGCGCCGGTTCTAATCCCAGCAGCCCCGCTTCCCACCCAGCTCCCTGCTTGTGGCCCGGGAGGGCAGTCGAGGACGGCCCAAAGCTTTGGGACCCTGCCTGGGGGAGGCTCCTGGCTTCGGATCGGCATAGCATCGACCGTTCGACCTTTGCGCTCACTTGGGGAGTGAATCATTGGACGGAGGATCTTCCTGTCTCTCCTCTCTGTATATCCGCCTTTCCAATTAAAAAAAAAATCTTAAAAAAAAATATATATATAAAAAAAGAACTAAAGTACTATCATTTAAAAACTAATAATAAATTAAAAAATCAAACTCCTTGGAGTTGGTTTGTTCCTGCTATGCCTTTGCATTCTGGCTCCAAACACTTGGGACTTGTCATTTCTTTTCCTCCCCGCCCATCAGATTTGGGGGAGTGAGGGTGGGGGGACGTGGGGTGCGAGGACCCTGGACCAAGTCTGTGGTGGGCTTCAAGGCCCCTCCTTCGAATCCCCACCTCCAAGACAGGGGCTGAAGAGAAAGGGGGAGAGCCCGAGTTCACCCTTCCCCACCTCGGACCCGAGTCCCCAACCTACTCGGCCCCTTCCCGCAGCGGGGAGGCCC